GGGATATTTTTACATCTTCGGTTAGCTGCCACCAACTGTTCGTCGGCCTTAGCTCATCCTAATGTCAATGTCCAATGACAAATATCTATCAGACGAAATTCGAGCTCGAACTGTGGCAGGTCCATTTGATACGCCACCTTTTCCTAATTACATTGACCTGAAGGTCAAGTGTCTTAAATCGCTAAATATCTGTTTTGAGGGGTGATGGTTCATCACCCTTGGTGGTCTGCTCAAGATACCAGTGGCATGGATCTTAACCCGAGTCCAAGTAACAGTAGTACCAGTAGTCGTTCCAGGCCACCCCTCGGTCACCCGGGCTAACACCTCACCATCCAAACGGGTAAGTATGGTGAACGAAGGTGTTAATAATTCTAGATTGTACTGACTCGGTCACAGGCTCCGAAAGAGTTTTTTTTTTATTTTTGCACGCGGATATATTGGTTATGAGCGAAGGAAAGTAATATAATTTAAAATTAATGAAAGGTTCCTGAAAGAATCTTCAAAACATTTCAATTGACTCAAAAATTCCTTAAATTTCCTTAGAATTTTCAAAAATTCCTTAGATTTCCTTGATTCCTTTTTTTCCTTGAAACGTCTTTTTTCGGTCAAAATTTCCTTGAAAAAGGAAATTTCCTTGAAAGTAGAAACACTGTTAATGTGACTAGTCAACCAGGCCTAGCATCTCTATGGTTTTAGCCTGCGAATGGGTTTTGAACACCAAACTTTTTCTCACCACCCGATTCCTCAGGTGTGATGCCTGCGGAGGAGGCTAGGAAATTTTGTTGTAATCAATGATAATGCCTAATTTCCTGTGATAAGACAAACCGGCATTTCATTTTCAGATTCGTGATTCCGTCAAATCTAGAAAGAGACAGACTGATGATTTTCATAATAAAACCGCAATACCTTCGAATTCAGGACGGTTAAAGAAACCAAAAATATTCAGTGCCATTCTTCATCAACATTAGATGAATTTAAAAAAAAAAAACACGAAGGAAAACCAAGGGGAAACAGTAGTGTATTATGGTGGACCCGAGATAGTTAATGTTTCTCGAGGCGAAACCGAATCTCGGGCTATTTATACAACACATGTACATGTTTCAAACATTATTATTATTATTATTATTATTATTAATGGTTTATTATAAAAATCGTCGCGCTCGATGAAAGCGAATTGCGAAATTATTTACAAACTTTAGTTAAAAGTATTAAAAAGTACCTTGTGTTACTGGCATTATATTACAACAATAGTTTACTGATCTATGAATTAATATCGAAAGAACTTTTAAATTTACAAAATTTACAAAATTTATAAATTATGTGATTGAATACACATAGTAGGAAAAAGCTTTTCTTAAAGCGCTCCGTCTTACAAGGAAACAGTGTTAATCTATTTCCGTACCTTAAATTACAATTGTGTCCATTGGCCCGAGAAGGTGGTATTAAATGGTTAAGGCGTGAATCAGGCTGTCTGATTTTGTCAAAAGTTTTTATGCACAAACCATCACGTCTTGCACGTAATGTCGAACATTTAGCTTGGTCCAGAGCAGCGTCATAGCTTAATGTGGGGTAGATTATTCGCATTGTGCGCTTCTGGACCCGTTCAATTTTATCTGACAAGTTAATGGTCAATGATGAATGCCATACCGGACAGCAGTACTCAAGCAGGGATCTAATAAGTGCAAAATGTACTCGTAGTAAATGAAACGGTGAAACTCCACTGCGCTTGAGAACTCAAAAGATGTGTAGTCTTTTTGATGCTTTGGTTACTATCTCACTGATATGCAAATCCCACTTCAGATTATTCTGGATCGTTAAACCTAATACTTTGTGGGATTCTATTCTTTCAAGACTAATGGTTTCAACAACTAAGGTGGGTGGTGGCTGCTCAATATCTCGTCGAAAGGAGACAATCATCTCTTTACACTTTTTTGGGTTCAATTTCATATTATTGGTACTTGTCCAATTACCAATTGCGTCCAATTCGTTTTGTAGTATAGATACCTCCCTTGTTGGAACAATCTCAGATATCGTCACGTCGTCTACGTACTTCCAATTACTGGAACGCGGGGATACTATTTTCAAATCATTAATCATTATGACAAAAAGGATTGGACCCAATTTGGTACCCTGTGGGACCCCAGCACTAGTTGAAAGCCATCGGGACACGCACTGTCCCAGCTTAACACATCGGCGGCGATTTGAAAGGAAGCTACAAATCCAAGGGATTATTGAACGGCGCACTATCAAATTGATCAATTTTGTTATAACAATATTGTGGTCTATTCTATCGAAAGCTTTGCTAAAGTCCAGAAAGCAAGCTCTAAGGTAATGACCTGGGTTGTCCATTTTAGAAAGCCAGTTGTGGATAAGATCTAGAAGGCAAAGGGTGGTAGATGTTCCCTTCAGGCTGCCATACTGACGATTATCGATTTGTCCACCTATGTCCTCAACCATCCAACTAACCACAAAGTCTTCGAGTACTTTCGATAACACAGGGGTAAGTGCGATGGGGCGGGTATCGCTCTCAACCTGGGTTTGTTTCGCTTTAGGAATGGGTATGATGGTAGAATCTTTCCATAAAACAGGTACTAGTCCAGAGGACAAAGATGTATTAAATATTGATGTAACTGGCTCAGCAAGTTCGTAGGCGAACTCTTTTAAAATTCGTGATGGAATACTGTCCGGGCCCATAGCCTTATTAGTCTGAAGTTTTAAGAGCTTACTACAAACCTCATGAGGATGAATTGTAGGAGGCGGCACCGCAGCTGGTAAGAATGTTGGAAGTCTTGAAATATCAAGTGGTGGGATATCATGATGTTTCTTCGCCAGTCGAAGAACATTTTCCAAGCTGTTTTTCAGAAATATTTTCCCAATACTATTAGGTTCTCTGTGAGAGTCAAAAATATGAAGAAGTGTGCTTCGATCAAAGAAAAAGCAAGAAAAAGGGTCATGCCCAATTTGTTTGAGTTGATTTGAAGATACATCATTTCTAGATCAATGTTTTTATATCCTTTTTTAACATTTTAAAGACGTGGGTAAACTTGCCAGCCAGTATTCATGGACATTCATTTTGAAAAGTCAGAATTTGAAACGACTGCGCCTTTTTAAATATTTATTTTACGCTCATTTGAATATGGTTATTCAACATCAAAATGATTTCTTTATATTCGTATCCTTGACTGAAATGATCACGTATTAAATCTTCTTCCAAAGATGCCATTTTGACTTAAAACATCACCGCCAAATTTGCCGTGATATTTCAACAAAATTTGCTGTCATACAAAAAACAAAATTTTCTACATCAGCTATTGGTTGTCGGTCGACTTGGGACAGGAACATGTTCTCCAATCTAATCCAATCGGTGGGAGTTCCTTCAAATGGTGTGTTCTTTAACTGCGGTAACTTGGCTTTGGTAGCTTTAGCTGCTCTTTCCATCTCCAACGTATTTTCTGTCATCTTTAACTCTTTGTGTAATCTTTCTTCCCAAAGTTCTCTTTCTTGTTGTTGTATTTCATGTCTAAGTTGCTCTTCTTTTGCAAATTTTAGCTCTAATTTTATCTTCTCGCGTTTTTAATTTAGGGGGAGGGGTCGTTTGCTTCAGTATAGCCGAAAGGAAATATAGTGCCATATGGCACAAGTTCGTTCTGAAGGATATAAGAAAGCATGGGAGAGATTTAAGTGTGAGTATGGTCAAACCAAAGTAGTTGTTAACTCTAATATGGAAGATATAATAAACCTGCCACAAGTCGAAGGGTCAACTATGAGAAAGTACAAACATTTTACGAACAGCTCAGTAAAAACTTTGATGCCTTAGAGACCCTTGGAGAGAGTGGCATGTTAAAGGGGTTTGTTTTAATTACATTGAACAAACTCCCTCAAGTTAAACGAGAATGTCGCAGTTGAGAATGTTGAGAGAATGTCGCAGTCGAGGCTGTTATAAGTGTAAAGTAGACACCATACAAGGCTGTGTGATCAACATTACACAGTCTTTACCGAGTATATCCCAAGCGAGGAAAAATCATTGTCAGCCATCATTCCACTGGAAGTACAAGGTGTTGTCTTTTCGACATGCCTGGACTGCAGTGAAGAAATTGAAGTTAAGCCTTACTCGCCATGAGTCTCGTCAAATGGGCAACCCAAAGATGCAATTGTTGAGGGGACACGGTTTGGATGGGTTATCCACGGAGGAGAGGAGTATGCTGACAACAAATGCATGTTTGTTAAAGCTGACACCAGCGACTACGAGAAGCTCTATTCTCTCGATGTATTTGGAGTAGAGTACAGAGGAGAGAACGACCAGCTACAAGTCTACGAGGATTTCAAAGAGAACAGTGTGTGACGGAACGATAGAAGATGTGAGGTGAACGTGCCATGGATCACAGGGAGCGAGTTAAGTACGTGGAACAAATGAACAAGTAAGCAGGGGACGACTAGAGAATATTGAAAGGAAACTGAAAAAAGATCGTGAACTGAAAGGGAAGTATGAGGGGATAGTGAAGGAACAGTTAGCCACAGGCATTGAGAAAGCACCACAAACACCCACTGAATACTGAAGGGCGTACCTTCTATATGCCACACAAACCAGTAATCAGAGAAGATGCGACCACCACCAAAGTTAGGATGGTTTTTGACGCAAGCGCAAAGCCAAATCCACTAGCGAACAGTATAAATGACTGCATGTATACAGGACCACCACTGCAACCCCTCTGATGGGACATCATGATCCGAGCTCGCATATCAACACACATACTACTTGCTGATATACAGAAAGCATTCCTGCAAATAGACATCCAAGAGGAGGACAGCGATGCTTTCGGTTTCCTGTTCAATATCAAGGGCATGGAACAACATCTTCGGTCTGCCAGAGTGCTGTTCGGCGTCGAAGCAAGTTCTTTCATGTTGGGAGCCACCCTACAGTATCACTATGACCAACAACCAGAAGAGTTACACTGACTGTCGAAGCATTTAGGGAGAACACTTATGTAGACAATTTGATGATGAAGAGTGGTAACAACTTGGAGGATTTACAAAAGTTTAAGCGAGAAGTCAGTGACATACTAAAGAATGCAAAATTCCCCATCCATAAATGGGAATCCAACCTGCCCGAGTTAGAAAGTGAAGACGTGGCGGACCTAAGCAGGATACTTGGTCACATTTGGCAAAAGGCGCAAGATACCCTGGAGGTTAATGTCGAATCTCTTCCGGATGACCAACTAGTAACAAAGCGAAAAATGCTTCGCCGAGGAGGTATTTACGACCCACTCGGTCTGACATCACCTACTGTTGTCGAAGGGAAACGGTTGTACAGAGAAGCGTGCCAGTCGACCGAGGAGTGGAACATCGAAGTGCCAAAACCGCTTAGGAAGGAATGGCTGAAATGGAACAGACAATTTCAAACTGTTCGAGTACCAAGAAGTATTTCAACGAGCGTGAGAAAGATGAAGGCTGTACATCTTCATGTATTTTCAGATGTGAGTAATATGGCATGTCAGCCGTTACCATCGCTGTACGTGGTGGAAGGTATCACTGGAGTGGTAAAGGGACTGCTGGCATCCAAGTCCAGAATCTCAAAGCAGAATACAACCATCCCCAGACTAGAGCTAGTTAGTGGTCATATGGCAGCAAACATGGTCAAGAATTTGTGGAGAGCTCTGAAACACTGGCCTATTGTTTCTACAACTGTGTGGATGGGAGTATGGTGGCATTGTATTGGATCACCAAGCCCGGGAAGCAGTGGAAAGTCTTTGTTGCGAATCGCGCTCAAAATATTGCGAAAGAAATTTCGAACGAAGTTGGTATAACTTGGAAATATTGCCCAACCAATAAGAACTGGTTTGGGGAACAGATTTGGCGAGCGGAGGAGCTGGAGTGGGTAAACTAGAGACGGGGTAGTGGTTTACTGATCCTGATTGGTTACTTGACGAACGGCAGTGGCCAGAGCAACCAGATTTAATGAGCTCCAAAAAGGTTAATAGCAATGAACATACGCCCTTCCAAGTTAACGTCTTTTACAACAAGGAACTTAACCCGGATGAATGGACGATGTTATTGACAAAGACCAAGTATTGAAGAACGCTGAAATTACAGCCTGGGCACTGAGGTTCTTAGACAACACCACCGCCAGGCGCCGCGGGAAAACTTGCAGGCCCAATGACAACGGAAGAGATCCGGCGAAGATCCATTGGACCGAGAAAGTGCAAAGGAACATTCCAGAAGACCTACAAACCTCAGAATTTGAACTAACGAAAGAAGAAGAGACAGGAATTCTCAAGTGTAAAAGCAGGATACAAGGCTACCAACCTACGTACATCGAAGGAGGTTTGTTCGCGGAGAAGCTGATCCTACACATGCACGAGCAAATTCTACATCTAGAAACCGCGAACACTATGGCTGCTATAAGACACGAATGGTGGATACCAAAACTAAGGTCCAAAGTCAAGACGATTATCAACACATGTACGTGCAAGGTTTACAGAGCCAAACCATACGGACCTACGAATACTGCCGCGATGCCCACATTTCGTACCGAAGAAGGAAGACCCTTCTAGACAACAGGAGTTGATTTTGCGGCACCCTTGAGCTACAAGGTGTGCAGAAAGGAACTGGGTAAATGTTATATACTAACATTTACCTGTGCCAGCACACGAGCTGGACACTTAGAAATGACGAAGTCGCAGACAGCTGATGAATTCCAGCGAAAGTTAAATACATTCATCACGAGAAGAACAAGACCAGAGTTGATCATTTCCGACAACGCCAAAGTATTTAAAGCTACAGCAAGTTGGATTAAAGAGATAAGAAAGAGTGAGATCCTACAAGACTACCTTGCCAAGCAAGACATAAGCAAGACAAATCCCCTTGGTGGGGAGGAATGTATGAGAGACTGCTCAAAGACGTGAAGAAGACTCTTTACAAGACGCTGGGCAAAACAAATATTGCGTTCGAACAACTCGAAGCAGTAATCGTAGGCATCGAGAGGCACCTAAATAACCGTCCTTTGATTTACGTTGGAAGTGATGAAGAGCAAGTGTTAACATCAAATATGATATGGGGACAGAATTGCTATATTCTAGAGAACGATGATACACAAGAGGATCTTGATAAGATGCTCGAGCAAACGCTTGTACACGGCAAGACAACACGCATGGGAACGGTGGGAGGTTGAGTATGTTCACAGTCTGATGGAGATGTTACACACAGGACACCACATCGGATAGTGATGTTACACAAGGGACACCACATCGAAAGACCACTTCAGCTAGTACGTTCATTAGAACTGAAAGGCCCCATTGATGTATATATGTAGAGAATGAATCCGCGAAGACCAATCCTGATGATGGGAAGAAGACAAGAAACCGAAAAAGTGCAGCTGAGGACGCAAGAAAAAAAATCAAACAGCTTGCTGAGGATGAGAAGATTTAAAAGGAAGGAACAATTATTTCAACTTCAAGCTTAGTAAAAATTAAACTTTATTATTTGTAGGGGAGTGTGGAGCCAAACAACCCCTTTCCCCTAACGTACATTGACATTTTTACTATAGTTACAACGAGGAGATTGTTCTTTAGGAGTTTTTTTGTATTTTTGAGAGAGCCATGCCTGTATATTTAGTTTTTTTGCAGTAGCAAAAAAAATTGCAGTTAGCCCTGCGTGGTCCAAACTTGCCCGCTTCGCTTGAAGCTAAGCTTGCAAATTGCGACAATTGTCTGTTAATTTGCTCAAACCCAAGATTGTCGGCTGACGAATAAAATTCGGCCTCAGAACAGGAAATCAGTCAAACCACACAATGCTTGTTAGTTTAATATTTGTATTTTTACTATTTTATAAGAAAGTTGAAATGAAATTGAAAATCATCAAATTGATCAAAATACAAGAATATGATTATGAGTTCAATAATCAATTTACAAGGTGACCTTCTGGTCAAGGATTGCAGTTAGCTTCAGGCACTTGCAGGTATTGGCGGAGTGCTGCTACCTAGTATCCGAACATCTGACAGGCATGGAGAGAACCATTTGAACCTGGGATATTTTAGTAAATAAAACCTTTTTTATTGTTATTTTGTGAGACGTGAGTTTGTATTGACACAAGTTCAGTACAATCATGGGCGTACCGGGCGGGCGACCCCCCAGTTTGTTGGGAAACAAAGCCAGTCGGGCAACATTCGCTCCATAGTCGGGCAATATTGGCTTATTATAAAAATAAATGGGACAAATTCTGTCAAATTTGTGGGAAATTCTGTAAATTTTGTGGTCAATTTTGTGATGTCTGGAAAATTTGTATGATGTTCCGAAAAATGTTGGTATGTCCCAAAAAATTTTGGACCCCTAAAATGGTACACCGACCAAAATTGTTTTGGCGAAGGGGGGATCGCCAAAATTAATTTGTTCCGGAAAAATTTTTTTCTGCGCTGGTCGGGCACAATCCGAAAAAGTCGGGCAAATTTCTAATTCCGCCCCCCTAATTTTTTCCTTCCGGTACGCCCATCAGTACAATACAATTAAGTATTGTGAAGCCAACATCTGAAGGAGATGTTGGGAAGACTGCACCCGACAACCTGTTCACGTTTTGCTCCCCTTTGTAATACTTCATGTAAACCTATCATGTGTGTCACTGGTGTCCTGCTATTTTTTTACACAAAATGACACTAAATAAATGCTCTGGAGATGCCTGGATACAAGGCAGGTCATTGTGCATGCACCATCATGAACAAGTTGAACACTGTATATGAAATTCATACAATCATACAACAGTGTTGTTATATATTTAGTTCCTTAGATTTTATGTATTCCAACCCATTATCTACATAAATTCCCTGCAGTAACTGTTCTCTCACCATGGCAAGATAGTTCCATCATAGCTGAAGAAGCTGCCAGTTTGTGACTTTTGTAATGATGAGATGACCTTCACAACACTAGAAACTGACTCGTCAATAGTGAGTGATGCATTGGAGCCTCCCATATCAGTTTTCACCCAGCCTGGATGTACTGAAACAACTGTAATACCATCATCAGCAAATTCACCACTTACAGCTTTCGTAACCATATTCAATGCAGCTTTTGAAACTTTGTATGCCAACATGTATGCATTAGTGATATTATCTATTGAGCCCAAATCTGATGAAATATTGACAACTGCTGCCTCTGGTTGCTCACCCGGTTGCTTCATTTCGGCTGCGCGTTTCAACAAAGGTCGGAAAGCCTTGGTTATCATACATGGAGCAATAGTATTCACATCAAAAGTACGCCGCATTATGTCAGGACTTACTTCATCAAAAGTCTCCTTTAAATTCATCCCGGCATTATTTATGAGCAGATTTAAACCAGCCTCCTGAACAATATCTAATACTTGTTTCACCGGTTCGGGCAAACGAGGTCCAGAAACATCAGCCATATCAAATTCCAGCACATGTATATTGGAATTCGTCTCAGCTAATTTCTGTAACTCTTGTGCGTTGTCTGCTTTCAATGATCTACATGTTGCAATGATATGTTTTGGAACAGTAGATGAATTTAAAATATGTTTGATCATATTCAGACCAAGACCTCGATTGCTGCCAGTGATGAAGACCGATGAAAACGTGAAAGACGCCATCATAGAATAAAGATCCATATAGATGGGCCACTTTACGTCGGAAGCTTTGAAGTTTCTGTCCTAGCGCATGTCGCATTACGCATGTTGGCGGCCATTTTCCTAGCGAGTCAATGACATTTTCTGGCCAATAAACACGCTGTACTAAGCTGTACTGGCTGGCTGCTCCGCCTTCTGGCCAGTAAACTGCATATTTTTGCATAAAACGTTGCACCGCTGAGTGGCCCTTCTGTTACTGATCTTTATTCTGTGATCCCACTTTCGAATCAACCCTGTTTGCATATTTAAAAGCCATAAACTGGCAAACAGTTGAGACATTCCTTAATCCCCAATTCCTTTACTTCACTAGTTACTCGCCAGTTACCCTCTTCTTCGCGTGTGTTTATTGTTGACTGTTGGCTGTTGACTGTTGACTGCTGTTGACTGTTGGCTGTTGCCTGTTGACTGTTGGCTGTTGACTGTTGGCTTGTTGGCTGTTGGCTGTTGGCTGTTGACTGTTGACTGTTGGCTGTTGGCTGTTGGCTGTTGGTTGTTGGCTGTTGACTGTGTTATTACACCCGTTTTCAAAATTACGCGACCAAGGACGAAAATGCTAGAGTTGACATGTCAGTTTTATGTCATTCGGTCACGAAGTTTAAATTTTGAGTTTTGCGGTTCCTTGTCGATGTATATGCTTTGTATACTTTATATAAACATGCTAACAATGATTTTCAAGATATTTTAGTGAGAATTATTGCAAAACTGATTTAAGCACAAACAAAATCAAAACATCACCGTTATAGTGTTTTATACTGAGAGCTAAATTCCAGAATAAATTGTTATTTTTCAAACTTTTCAAACATATTTCTGTAGTGATGGTTTGTATTGTGCTTTAGTTTGTATATCTAAGTTATCTAACTCATTTTTGTTCAGTTTTGGTATTAAATACGGTTTAAAATGTCTTTTGACAGTTTGTTTATGTTTGCTATTTTTAGCAGTTTTTGTGACATAAAACTGACATTTGAAGTAAGAGTATTTTTCAGGGAGGTCGCGTAATTTTGAAAATTGGTGTAATGTTACTTTGCAATTTCATTTAATTCTCAAGAATAATGCAAGAGGTTGTTTATTTATCTTAGGAAAAAAATAATGTCTCGATGATGGTGCGAATCCAAGTGTCCGACCCTGGATTAATGATTTACCTGTCCCATTTTAGGTGATGGCTCTGCCTCTGCCCTCTGGGAAGCCTAGTCCTAGGTCTTCTATTTTTATTTAATTTTTTAATATTCAGCGCTTTTTCACATGAAAAGACTGGGACGAGGTGATTTGGGGGCGCGGCGGAGGATGCGCAAGCGAAAAAATAGAAGGCCTAGTCTGTGGCCTGTGGTCTGTGGCCTAGTGGATTTCCCAACAACAAGGCCAAAACTGCCCTGAAACTGCCCTGGTTGCGAAATGCCCAATTATTGCGTTCTCAAACAGAATTATTTGCAACTTAACAGGGAATTTAAACCGATACAGGTAAAATAAACTCATTTATAGTATAAACTTACTATTTTTATTTGTATACACGCCTAGAAATTCGGGTTTTTTATCATAAAGTTTGAAGCAACACTATTATTGTTGCGAAAGGTCAAAATGAGTCAAAATATTACAACAAAATAGAACTTAGTTTAAGCCCGCCGCACACGAGAGCAACTTGCTCAGCAAGTAGCTCTCGTGTGCAGATAGTTTTCGTGAGGATTTGACCTCTCGAGGCCTTGGGGAAAATATCTATCGTGTTTGATATTTTTCGCCTCGCGAGGAAAAAATCTCAGCGTCTGCGGATGTTGTGAGCTAAGTGCTGAGCTGTTTGAATCAATTAGCCAATGACAAACCATGGTTTCTTCTTGTGACATGGAACAAAATGGAGGAAAATGCAAATAATGTTGTTAATTATGTTGTTGTTGAGTAGTTTTCCCAACGTGTGCGGTGAAAATACATAGCTGAGCTAACGGCCTCGCGAGGCGGTTAG